GATGATGCTCTCAACACACAAGAGTTGCCAAAAGTCGTGTATCCTTATTACAGATAGTGTTGGAAATTAGACTGTGAAGTGAATTCTGTGTAAACAATTAAAAGCCATTAGTGTCATATGCAAACACATTCACATCAGATATGACAAAGAAGTCTGAAAGTATGGAGAATACAAAACAAAGTCTTGGTTTTCCCTTTTGATTTCTGACACGGTCATCATACTTCTTTTCTAGCATAGAGAGTCATGTTTAATTGAGTTAAACAGGTTGCCATATAATACTCCCAGTGTCCCAAGTACAAATTTGGGTCCCGACACAAGTTGATTTTCACTGGAACGAATTCATATTGTGTCAGGGAAGTGAGGAAGGAATACAGACAAAGAAGTGAACAAAGCAAGACAGCAGCAAAACCTCTTACAGCTTGTTTTGGCATGCTTTTGCAACAGTAACAACAAGGACAACCAGTGGACTCAAAGATTGATCCAGCTGATCTCTCTTTCATTTAGTTCACAACCTCTGGAATTGAACTGAAGTCGAGAGAGAGAGAGAGAGAGAGAGGAGGAGGAGGAGATGGAGGAGGGGGACTTAAAGGGAAAAAAGGGGGGAAAAGGATGACTGGAGGAGGAAATTGAGGAAGAATGTAGAAGGGAGAGTGTGTGTATTTGTGTATATCTGTGTGTAGTAGGGGGTATCTGTAAGAGTAGGGGGACACTGTGGGGTATGAGACAGCACCCCGCAGTCCCAAGTAATGGCAGAATAGAACTTAATAGGGTAGAAAAAGCCTGGAGGCTGTTAACTCAGAAACGGTCATTTCGAATTCCCCATTCTCTCTCTCAACCCTTCTTCCATGCACCTTCTATATCTTTAACTTGGTTTCCCATTCCTGTCTGCCTGTGTAATTTGCAGATCCTCCTTCCGTCTCCCTACACCCTTAACCCGTCTCCCACCTTTCACGTTTCCCCTTCTTTTCCTCTCTTTCACCTCATTCTGCTTGTTCTTCATCTGCTCCCCCACTACCTCTTTTCCTCTCCTCCTAGCCTTTTCACCCTTGCCTCCTTCCTTCCCTGCCTCATCTCTCCCTTCCCATGTCACCCCCCCCCCCTCTTCCTCCCTCTGTGTCTCCCTTGGAGGATGGGTGTAATTGATAGCTATTTGGTGTTGTCATCAGAGGAACGCCTGTTTAAGGGGCTTCTAAAGCACATCCCACGGTTGCCCACGGCTGAACCTGGCACAGCCACTGTATAAGGGGAGAAAAAAAAAAACATCTGGTTGGCTATCGACAGGCGTCACCGTGCCAACGGCAGCAGGAGTGTCGGCACATCAGCAGACGATGACGCAGCCCCCGGGGGCCACAGAGAGCAAGCTAATGATGCGTGGGATAGGATACATATGAGGAGGAAGTACAGTAATAGTGATAATAGTGATAGTAATGAAAATAATAGCACTGATAACAATAACAGTATATGACTTTTTTGATTTGTGAGCACTGTGTCTGCCCCCTCTTTCTCTCCCACTCCTCAGTGTGTTTATGTGTGTGTGTTATTTTGCATACCTTAAACCCTCATCAGAGGAAAATGCCTCCTCTCTCCTCTCTCTCTCGCTCTCTTCTTATATGAAACCACATATATCACACACAAACATGCAT